ATGCCGTAGAAATTTCAACTGAACAATTTGCTAAAAGCGAAATTTCGTCTCAAATAAACATTTTGGTATTCATGGAATAATCTCACTGTTTTTGAGAAATCCAAAATCGCCTTTCTTTTATCTACTAAAAAACGAATTTTATGGAAGTGAAACATGAAATACCACATTTACAGAGAAGCTAGGGATGACCCTACGATATTGTGGTGTTAAAATTCTCAAATAAAGTTCCAGTTAAAAAGACGTTACTGGACGAGAATTAGTATCATAACATGAGCCTCTCATTCGCATCTTATGCCCCTTGGAAGGCGTCGTACTCGCGTACGGGGGCGTCAATTTTTTTTTGGCACAAGCTCAAAACTCGGTTATCTTAGAAGATACAGCGCTGAAATCATAGGAGGATGTCCCCCGTCCAAGTAGGTGTTAATGAATTTGAATCAGTCTACATAAAACCTAGGCCGGACATAAGATGTGAATGAGGGACTCATGTTGCAATACTAATTTCATCCATAACTTGCCTGTTTCAAAACAAACTATATTGTCTTTTTTTCCCTAACCCCCCCCCCCCTCTTTTTTATTTTCTTTGCCGTGTAAACGTCGCTTTTTGTTGTAATATGATGTGTACAAATAATGAACTGAAGCTGTTATATCAATTAGTAAACAGTCTCTTAATAATCCTAGTAAACAGTTGGCTGCTTTAAAACTTCCTGGCTTCGTTCTACCGGCAAATTACATTCTTTCTACTGTTCCGTGAACATTTTGCCTTACTACTACCACTAGCGGATCCACGGAGAGGAGGGAAGGACAAGTAGCTAGACGATGGACGGGGGGAGGGCAGTAGGGAGAGAAAAATCGCCCCCCCCCCTCGGAGCCGGAGACCGCTCTGAATCTGCCTATGGCTACTAAATTTGCAGCCGGTTGCTTAGTGAGTACAATAAGTATACAGAAAGATGCGGAGGGTCAGAAATTTCCCTCTCCACCCACCCCCTCCCCTCTCCCACCAAAAAAAAAAAATTGGCTAACGCACGGGCTGCCCGTGCGAAGATGCGTTTTTTGCATAGTTCCCCCAAGTCTCTGTTGCTACTGGTACAGGATTTTCGGCAAACGCTTATAGCTAAACAAATTAAGACTGGCCGCCAGAACTGTCAGAAAACACTCCCCTTGAAATTTCAGCTTTCCAGCTTCCCTGGCTTCTGAGTTAGCAACTTACTGGAAAAAAATTTTCATGGGCCCGTGCGAGTTTAATACGCAAACCCTAGAGTTAGGTTTGAGCTGAATGAAACTTAGGTGGACGGGGTATATCCTCTTAAAATTACAGTCCTT